ATTATGCGAAAAATCAGAAGACAGTAGTAATAAAAAGGGAACTGCAAGGGGAGAGAAATGTTGGTTGGTTTTAGTCAGTCCATTTCAGTAGTATGTGCATTAAGAGAAGCATTTATACTTCCCATATATTGTTTTAACATGATTGTGGACAAAAAAAGATTCCAAATCAGGTCACATAGTAACTGAAGCATCCAACAATTGGTGAAACTGATTAAAATCTTTTAAAGGTGGAAATTGGAGCCACGAGCCCGTGCAATTGGTGTATGAAAATCGCCAGCGAGAAATGACGCGTAGAACGCCAAGTCCTCCACGTCGATCCAATTCAGCGCTTCAACAGATGCGAAGGTACGACTCAGGTGCGTTCGGCTCCTCTTCACGCCCACTGCGGGCGAGCAATGAAGAGAGTTAAACGGTAGTGGCCTTTTCGGTTGACCTCTTGCAGATATGCACGCTAATCGAGTGAACGGCGCCTCGAGGATTATCTACGCAAGCAAGCCAGACACACCGGCATACCACAACATCCCAATTCGGCGCGCAAGTCCACCACCGAAAGGCACCACCATTGGCTTTATGCAGGACATCGCCGCCTCTTCGTCATCAGGTAGGAAGTTACGCAATGAAGTTGGGATACTGACGCCTACCGATTTCGATGACATCTTATTTTGTTTTCAATTTTACTATCAGAGTCAATTTCAACGAGTATCACGAGTCTACCACAAGGACCACCAATACGGGCACCGGAGATAGAGCTGGATGTGGTGCCGCCTGCCTCGCCCCGACCATTTGACAATCGTGCCGCCCACGGAAATCGCATTAAATTTGAAACCACCAGACCTGCCGACATTCCCTACTTCGGTAAGATGGAAAACTGCTTTACCTAAAGCAGTCCTTCAAGGCCTCGGAAAGGCGTGCCATAAATCATGCTTTGCTCACATTACTCAGTAAATCTACGCCTTTTTACCAGAGAAGTCATATTTTTTTGGATGAGACACCTACCTATTGCGCAAATGTGATGGCTTGTCCTCTCATAGTCAAAAATTCACACAGAAAATGAAATGAACAATCAATCTCACTGCACCCACCTCCCTTACAACTCCATTAAAATGATCAACAAACAGAGCTTTGGTGTTTTAGGCGGCTTTATATGGGAAAAAATTGAGATTTTTGTTAATTATTACCCTAAAGTAAAAATAAATTCTTTATTTACACAATATTTTGCGTTTAGACTCCACCTCGGAGAGCAATTTTGAGCTCAACAGACCGAGGAACCTCACTCATGGCGCCAGAAATGTGGTACTTCGACCACAAGGTGAGTACAGCAACACGCATGAAACGTGCTTGTCACAAGAGGGTCCAGACAGGCAGTTGAGAAATGAATGGGTCTTTTGAAGTTCCAGTGGAATGGGTAGACTGATTATGTAGGCTTGAAATTTTGTTTGCATGAATAGGAGAACGAATGATCCCACAACCACGCATAGGCTACCAAGAGGAGGAGTTGATGCCACGCCTGAGGACCCCCAAAGACCCCGACCTAAACCTGAGCTTCAATTTCCAATGTGGCGCCGACCCACACATTCCACCCCTCACTCCGGGTAGGTGGTCATCCCAATAATTGCATTTCTCCACCAAATCGCATAATATCACAGCAAAGTCTGCTTATTTCACACGCACAAGCCTCCCTCTCCAGTCCACCTTTTATGCTCTATTAATTTATCTTGTAATTCAATCAATCAGGTTCAAATTTTACTTAAAGGAATATACTTCTCCATACATTTGCCAAATCTACAAATTGAACAGTTAATAGCAATTTGTAATTTGTTAATCTAGTTTGAGATTTTACTGTGTTTAGATATTTAGTGATGTAGACTTTGAATACCACTAAGGGTTTGTGGCTTGTGGAAGACTCGCGTCGCGAAAGAGACTTTGGAGTTACCACAAGCCGAGAGTCGGCGAGAGGAGTAGGAATGGGAAGGAGGGAAAAAGGATGCAAAACAAAGCAAATGAATGTACACTCAAAAATGACACATAACCTTACTCTTAGAAACATCGTTTGGGATTCAGGGCCCGGCATCGAACATGAAAATTCAAGGAAGGACCAAAGCAGTCGATATTTCCACTACCACTCTAACCACAGATACGCCGATGGGAGAAAACGCACTAGATGACACCCTTGATACAGGTAAGATGCATTCAATCTTGATTTAAAGCGCAGCCGATTAGTTAGATCATCCCACTGTGCATGGTCAATGTTGTGACGAGATATTTGTTCATCCGGTCCTGATTCTATACCCAACAAAGGAAATTTCCCATCAAAATGGAAAAATACTCATCTAACAGTTGGCCCATTAGGACTTAAAGTAAAAAATATGGCTTCGCCGAGTGATGAGTTATCATGGTACAACCGGCGTTTTGTAAAATCAGACACTTCGATGTACATCGAGTACTCCCCTGTCTAGGTAATGCTCTAAGTTACTGAATTACTCAAAGCTAACAAGGCTAAAGCTTTCTTGTGAGTACTCACTCTACCATCTAGAATTGACTATTTTTTGTATATTCTTAGGTTTGATATGCACAGGTCACCATGCGAAAACTTTTTGCATGACCTTTAAAGTCGGCTAACGCGACATGTTGTCATGGTTGCCAAAATTTTAACAATGAATTTTTAATGCGACCGTAAAATTTAGTGTTCTTATGGAATTCTGCAAGAAATCAATTGGTATATTTGGAGTTTTACTAGGTACTGTTAAATATCAAGACCATCAAGCTTTTTTGATGTTCCAGTTTGCGGTCTGTCATATTTATAGTTTTCTTTACATGTTTTTTTTCAAATTTTGTATAAAATTTAGCTTACGGACTAGCTATTTTGCATCTTAAGTGTTTCCAAAGTAGGCGCTATCGTGAAAATTAGAGCAATTAAAGCACACTTGGCAGCTTTACCATTGTTGGATAATCTATTTCGAGTTTGACACCACTAACTGCCCTCGAATGAGTCAAAAGAGGAAATGGCTTATATGCAGCATTTTCGTAAGCGCCTAACACAATTCAAGATTTGTAGAACCGTCTCCTAACACTCATTTTTTTCCATTTTGCATTTAGTAGTTAATTTTTCGAAAAGATCATAATAATTTTTGCTGTGTCACTTGTTTGCTATACTTCATTTCTCCTTTGTCTCCCTCTTCTTGTGCTCATGTCTCGCCTTGTCCCATTTAAGACGAAGGTCAAGGATAGAATCAGTAGAGCCGATGAGTTTTATAATTTTCACCTCTCCACCATAGACACACTTCGGTCCGCTGGTGATTATCGCGCGCCAAACTACGGAAGACGAGAGTTCCACCACCAAGCGTCATACCGACGATAGGGGAGACAGACAGAGATTGACAGACAGAGAGATATGCAGACATGCTACGCACCTTACACATTTGTGTTGTCTAGAGATGCTGCCAAAACGGTCACGCACTACTGCCATTGCCACCACCACCGCCAACACCACTGCCACCATTTGAACTCGTTGCATGCACACACACCCACAAGTGCCAATGCTTATTTTGTTCACTTCTCTCTGTTTCATGCATTGGCCTCTGTGACCAGTTATAAAGGCAAACTCTCATTCGCAGTGCTTCTTAGTTTGGCGCGCCTTAACCCAACTCATACTAACTGAGAGGCAAAATAAAATGATTTGACTACTGTACGAGAATAAAAGAGCTTGCAATCCAGCTGGACATGCCATAAACGGTGTTTTAATTGGAGCCAGAAGCGATAGTCTTCCACTGAGTCACTCTTATTGGCTTGAAGGTGGAGTGGCCATTCATGGCTTCACCTTAAGCTCCTTCGTAGACTTTCAGTTATCCACTCTCTAGGCGGTAGCTTACAGGTATGTCAGTGTCCTCCACAATTTCTTGCCACCTCTTATGAATGGCGTATTTGATGAGGTGATTTTGTCATCAATTTGCATCCAAGTAGGTTCTGGCTAAATCTAGCAAAAACAGAGCTTTGCGTCTCATTCGTTTCTTTGGCTTACTTAGGTGTGTTTGTTTGTTTTCCTATTTTTTTCCTTTGTTTCTGCTCCCTGCTCTAATGTATACGCAAGAGTGGAAGCTTCAATCCTTTTAGTTATGCATTAAACAACTCATTACTGCTTCCAAGGAGGGATGAGGTGCAAAATAAAAGTCGCCACACTTCTTCACTGCTCATCCGATTTGGTGTGTTTGCTTTTAAGTGGGTTCGTTGCAATTGCTACGGGACTCCAGCCCACAAACACCACCACCGCCGCCACCACCTCCGCCGGCACTGATATTGCCCGCCTTGAATGAGGAAACTCCAGCCACCGTTCCACAGAATGACACTGTTAGAAGGCATGATTTTGGTGAGTCATTACTGCTTTACCTTAATTGTGGATTCAAAGTGGTTTTTCATGTCAAGATGGGACACATCCACTGTGCGGATGTAGTGCTAAAGGTTTTACAGGACTCCTCAATTTATCGAGGTTGAAGTGTTCACTGGAACCTAAAATGTTGCGGCCTGTCACCTTTATTGGAGGGACTCACAATGTGGACCATTACTACTTTTAGTCGAGAGGGCATCTGGTTGTCATCACACCCGTAAATTAGCTTCAATTTAACCGTAACCTTACTCTAGTCATCTTTTTTAACTCTCTGGTTCTTATGACTTGCATTGAGCACTACGTCTGGTCCTGGAGTGTTCAAGAGGCGTAACCAACCGACAGAGCAAACTTCAACACCCGTTCAGAATGTGTGAACAACTTTTGAAGTGTTTCATTGTCAACGCTCTCGAAGTCTCTCCAATGGATGCATTATAGACTGTTTGTTGATTTAGGCGACGAGAGAGAATCCGGATTTTCGTCACATGTCTATGAAGTGGTGCAGGATTCGCCATTGAATGGAACACGAGGCCCGGAATTCGGTGCATACGGTCAGTCTACATCATTATTGTGTATAAATACCTCAGCAGGTGGAAAGACAGAGCCCCAAATCCATCAAAAGTGCAATAGGAGAGAAGGGAATCCCTTAGTAGACACGACGGGGCTCCTTACAGCTTTTGTTCCCTCTCTATGGAGGTTTGCAAACTAGCCTTCACTTATAGGGGCATCACTGGGACACCTTAACACTCAGACGGTCACCATTAGGCTCCCGAGGCTATAGTAGACATTGAGGCCAGTTCATTAAACATGCTTGACTAGTGTCTGATCCTTCAAACGCTTCCATTATTTCAAGAGATGAGATCCTCCGACAGAGTGGAAGGAGACGCCTTATTGCCAAATCAAAAGCGACTGAGAGCGCTAGAGGAAGAGAATTTTCCACCACCGCCGTCATCGACACCGCCTCCACCGAGAGTGACCGACAAATTGGAATCGAATGGCAGGAAAGGAGCGAATTTGTCATCACAAAGAGGTTAGTGCTTCAGAAGGTTGCCTTAGCAACAAGTAAGTCCATCACACATATATAAAAATGGGAAGACGGAATGTCAAAACATTTAGACGCAACAAATGACTAAGAAGATCTGTTAAATGAGTCGGCTTCAGCCTTTAACAATTGAAGTCGTTAATGGCTTTCCCTTCCAGCAGACAACTGTGATGGCCAATTTGATCTTTCCAAACAAGTCTCTGTCCAGGTTGGCAGTCTCATCCAACAAAGGCTAAAAGAGTTAACTGACTGCCTAAATATGGACTCTCAGACTGTGGGAAGAGGCAATGCTACCACCAATTCGGGTGAGTTCACATGACATCCCTTCCACCTTAATCCACTTCCCAAATACCACTGCTAATGAGTTTTTTTACATTGTCTGCAGGCAATGTCCGAAAGTTTGCATCCCTACAGTCTCGAGCAGGAG